AAGCTACAGTTAATCTCAGACCCATGCAAGGCTGAACAGACAGGGGCAGATTGGAGGGGTAGGGGTAGGTCAGCCTCATTGGCCACCCAAACAGAGCCCCTGGCAGACACTTGCTCCCACAATCCAAAATCGCCGAAATGCCCCCGGCCTGGCTCTACCTTCTCGTGATGGACCTAAGTATAATCTGCTGAAAATTTAGGTATGTGCGTTTTGGGATTGCAATCTTCAGGTTTTCTCGGGTTCAGATGGGCTACCTCCCCCCATCTCCCTGCACCTCCGGAAGCCCTGGCAATCATGTTCACACCCCAAAGCTGCCACCCAGTATTTTTTTTAAAAGCTATCCCAGCTGTGCCTTCCCCATAAAAATACTTAACACTCTGAATACACACCATGACCTCTTAGTACCTGTATTGCAAACCATAACGGACAAAAGAAGAGAAAGAAGAAAGGTGCCTGCCATAGAGGCAGGCAGGGAGCAGGGTGGGAGTGGGGGAATAGAGGGTGGGTCAGAGGGAAACTGGGGACATGGGTGGTAAATTGGTGGATATATGAGTCTTGGAACATTATATGACTGAAACCCAATCATAGTTTTCAGATGGTCTATCTCATGGTGATTTAGTTTTTTAAAAAAATCTGATGACATTCAGACAGTATATGAATGGCAAGAACTCTCCCCTCCCCCCAAAATGAAAGAGTTTGTTTCTGATCTTTGGCAATTTATGTCTCAGATTTGCAGACAGTCCCATCTTTACTGTAGCATTTTTAATAGATTTCCATCATGTTCTATAAATCAGTCTTAGATAAAGAAGCACCCAGAATTCATGACGAACATTAAGACATGGATAATGAATAAAAGAGGCACCATTAACTGCCAAGAAAGGGGAAAAAATTCTGTAAACATTCACAAACAAGTCTGTGTGGTCATGATTTTTTTCAGTACAATAGTTGAGTGTAACTATTTTGTTGTTGTTGTTGAATCACCTCTGATAGTTACAAGCTTTCATGTTTGAGTTACAATCATACCATGATCAAACACCCATCCTAAGAAACTGTTGAATCTTATTAATAGTATATGACACTACATTGGTGGTGAGCAACTGGTATAAGGACTTTTTTAATTAAGTTGTTCCAATGGGTGTGGAGAATTTCACTGTAATCTTAATTTACTCTTCTTTAAGAATTAGCAATACTGGGACTGGAGCAATAGTATAGCCTTGCATGCAGCCAACCCGGGTTCGATTCCCAGCATCCCATATGGTCCCCTGAGCACCGCCAGGTGTAATTCCTGAGTGCATGTGACAAAAGTGACCCCTGAGCATCGCTGGGTGTGACACACACACACAAAAAAAGCAAAAAAATTTTTAAAAAATAAAGAATTAGCAATCCTGAGGGTTTTCTGTGTTCACTTATAATTTTTGACAGTGTTTGAAAATATTTTTTCCAACTGACTTATATTATTACATTTTACAAAGTTCCTCATATATTATGAATACAGATCCTTTTTTCCTCTTTAGCAGGATTGCAGGAGTATCTTTTTATTCCCTTTGAAATGTCTTTTGAGGAATTCTTAATTTCACTGAAATCAATTTATCCATTTAAAAAACTTACATTTGGATTCTCTGGTCCACTCTGTGGGTTTTTTTTAAATGTAGTGGATTTAATTTTTGTACACATTTATGAAATTATTCCAGACCCAACTATTAAATTATCCCTCCTTCATTGAATTTCTTTACACATTTAACAAACATAGGTGCTCACATATTTGAGTGTAGGTGTGTTTCTGATTCTAACCTTCCATTAACTTGTCTATCTCTATGCTAGGATATAGATAACTTATATTTTAGTGAACATATGAACGTATTTACTTACTGAGGTTTGGGTATGTCAAATATACTTGATCATGTTTCAGTGGTTAAGAAATGCTGTTAACAGGAAAGTTAGGGAAAAGGGCAAGGAAAGAAAGAGAATGGAAAGGAACAGAAATAAGGCAGAGGCTCACAAGGGGTAAAATTGTTAGAAAAAGCGGACTTTTGAAAATGACATTTTCTCAATTCTGCCATTATCAAAGATCATTCCCCAACTGATATGACCTTGTCTTTATTTACAAAGGTTCTGTCTACAAAATTAGCAGTTATGTAGTTATTCATTTGCATTCTTGTGTATTATTGATCAAAGGCATGTGTTTCTGAGCAGTGCAAGATAACCAAGGTTGTTATGTAACTCTTGCCAAAAATAAATCGACCTTTTTAGATATCCTGTGCAGTCTTGTCATGGGCAATGTTAAGGTCTCCCTTAAGCATTTTGAAACATTCACGATAGCCTCAGGGGACTCCCACTGCCCTTGTTCCTCTTAAAACCAGACTAAACTATTCTCTCTAAAGCCAGGGAGTTCGGATGCTTCAGGAAACCCTACCCCAGGGTCTGCGCCTGAATTAACTTCCTTGGTTCACATTCACTATCACTGGGTCCTTACAGCTAGAGCTTCCAACCAATGAACAACAATGTGTAAGACACTTACTGCTAACACATAGTTTCACAATGACTTGGAATACCACTAATTACTTCAAGGATGGCCCTAAACTATGCCCCCAAATGAATTTTCTAAAATAAAACTGAGAACCAGCACTTTGCTGCCAAGGCTCTGTGGGATTCAAATAAACAGTAATAAGGTTTAGCAACTCAAAAAGAGATAGTTCAACTTTGAACAAGGTAGCAAGAAACTGAAAGTGAAAGATTAAGAGAAGTTAGTTGAAAATAAAAACTTTGCTCCAATTAGATCAGAGCTTACTGAACTCAACAGCTTGATCCTTTTGTTCGGTTGGTTGGTTCGGGACCATACCTGATGGTGCTGAAGAATCACTCCTGGAGGTTCTCAGGGGACCATGTGGTGCCAGGGATAAAACCTGGGTCAGCCTACAGAGCAAGAGGCTTACCTAATATACTTTCTCTCTGATCTAATCTGATGTTTCTGAATCTAAGAACATCTCAAAGTCAGATCCCCAAGTGAATGAATGATGGATCCTCAGGATAAATGTTAAAATGCCATCTCACACTCTGACAGTTTTCCTCAAAAGTCGTGACAAAGTGAACAGATGTTAACAAGTTAATGCACAAAAGTAGAGGCAATAGGCAATATTGACTTTAATCACCATTTTCTTTTGTAAAAGTCTTGTTTTATACAAAATACACTATTTCAGTTCTGCTTTGGGGCAGGGCTGGGATTCAGAATGGAAACATTCGAAATATGGTAGTGGGAAGATGTAACGGTGGTAAGATTGGTGTTCAAATATTAAATGTAATCAAAGATTGTAAACTATAAAATTTTAAAATAAAAAAAATTAGTTTAGGCACTGAAAAAAAATAAAAGTCTTGATTCATTTTCCTTAAAAATAGGGGTTGCTCTCACATGCGCTTTCACCCTTATTGAATGAATTACTTCCATTTTTGCTCCTGTGTTGCTGAAGCAAGGGCTGACATATCATTTAAACCTACTGCCCTGGCAAACCAAGCTCCAAGTTACAGCTCAACCAGAAAACAAGCATCCACTTCAAAGTCTCATTTTAAGACTGAGCTTCCAGTTAGCCATTAACTGTGAATTTATTCATTAAGATGTAAGTTCTCTGAGGCTACTTACCGCTAAAGTAAGTACAGCAGTCAGTACAATCTAGCAAGAGTGTATTTCATAAATTTAAAAACAAACAAAAACAGCTTTGCTCTAAATTCTGGCATCTCTAAATTCTGTCTGGGGAAGACTTTTCTGGGTTTTAGCCTTCCTTATAAAGTATGTTTATCAGAGCATGCTGAAATTGACTTTACGATATAATCTAAATGCAATCAAATATATGAGAACCAATCACTGTGTTCATCACCAGAAATAGTGCTACATGGCCCATTCTGTTAAAATAATGACAAATGCAATCAGGATTGTTCTACTGAATTCCATATGACAAGGCGCTGTGTTTTTTTTTGTTTTTGTTTTTGTGGCTCCTGAGGCTTAACAAAACCAGACTAGGCTTATATAATTACTACAATGCTAAAGGCTGTCATTAAGAAGAAAAATATACCTAAAAATACACTTCACTTAGCACAACTATGCAGCATTTTACCTCAGTATAGAGAATTTAGAAAACATGCAAGAGACAAAAGCTTAAGACATGCTTTTTCTTCCAAAATTTAACTCTTTGTTCAAGAAACTCCCTACAAAATCATTTAGCAGTCTAATTGCTAAAAATATTAAGTCACAGCAATATAAACAATATTTAAATAGAAATCATTAAAATAATTTTATTCTGCTAAGCTTAATTCTTTATCAATCACCATAATTTGATGTTTTCTTCAACAGTGAAAACTACACTTTTCTTACGATTGCAAGGAAATTTTATTGATACAAATTACTCTAGCAGAAATCACAATATCCTGGGTCCTTCATCCTTTAAGTAACATTAAATTTGTGCTTCTAATGTCTACCATAAATAAGTAAAAGAACAGTCTTTTGACTAAGTGGGCAGACAAGGGACTTCTTACTTAACTGTATCCATTTCTTGCATCCTAAAGTTTTTGTGGATTTCAACTTGGTATAGAAAAAAGAAATACCATTACTGATCACAGTGCATAAAGGAAGTTTTACTGAAGCTCAGTTTTCATTTTCCTATAATAAAGAAGCCTGTAATAAAATCTTTTCATTATAAAGAAGGCATAAGCCTAGAAACCAAAAGACATGTGTTGAAGATTATTCAATAGCACCCCCTAAAAACAGAACAATTCGGGGCAATCATGTAGAAGCAACCTATTCTACAGAATGTGAAGTTTGCTTCAAAGGGCACACATATGTGACATGCTACTTCCAAACAGCACAGTTTGCCGTTTTTATTAACTGGAGTGACTTTGAAATGACTATCTGAATAATGATCAAAATCTGTGTTCTCTGTGCTCTTTTGCCCAAACAAATCCAAATTCAAAAACACCTAAATTCCAACAAATAAAAGTGAAACATACGAGTGTTAGTTTTTGAAATTTTATTATTTTTAATACATACATTTCACAAACAGAAGCCTTCTAACATCACACACAATTCCAGAACCAAATGCTTCATTTTTATCAACATTCGTTAACTATTTACAATATCTTCCCTTAACAAAAGTGCAATCCAAGACATCTTAACAAGAAATCTTTACTAACAAGAATATAATTTCGAGCTGGTTTTAATGATGCCCATCGCTGTATTTTCTTTCATTTACCTGGGATAATAATAAACTCAACAGAACACAGAGATGAGCTGCGTTGGGCGGCATCCTCTTACAGGAACCAAAACACTGAACAAGAGTACTTTCTCTTCACCCTCAGCTGAACCTACTCAGCAGCTGCTACCATGAGACTAGATAGGAAAGCAAACTGGAGTTACTGATCTGGGCACAGGAGAACTGACGAGTGTATGTTAAATATTGGCCTTACAGAGCAATAGATTTCCACAAGTTAGTATGGGTGGTCTGATAAGTTAAATCAAACAGCTGTTAGTTTTACAGTTTAAACACCTGGTAGTATTCTTTCCTGATCAGTTTCCCTCAAACATGTATGAAAATAACTTTTACTCTCAAAAATGAACTTCTTTTACAAAAGGTGAACACGAAAGGTCTTTTTTTATTAGGTGCTTTCTTACTATAATGAAATGATTCACTCACACCCCAGTTTCATGGCCCGTGTCATCTTTTAAGGTAGGAATTCAGCATATCAGCTACTTCAGATGCAAGCAGAAGAGTTGGCCTGAATGGAAACGATGAGATAAACAGAAAGTTTTCCAGCTGAAGTTAAACACTGAGATAAACAGAAAGTTTTCTCCCTAAACTAAAGCAAAAAATTTGTTCAAAGTAGAAACTTGAATAATAGTGATAAGAAGTTAGAATAGATGGGAAATCACTTTGAAATTATGAGTGGTTCATGTTATTAAAAAATTCATCAGGAAAACAGAAAAAGAGTCTCTGTAGAACAAATGGCATAAAACAAATGAGTATTTTTAATATCTAAACCACAACAAAAACAATCTTTCTGATATATTCCAATCTGCATCAAAATAGAAAAATTTTGAGAAAATATGGAAAAAAGTGAGAGCAGCATATTTCTAAAATAAGATTTGTACTTCACCTGCATAGTAATTATATTTTATTCTCAGATCAGCCATATTTTCTCTTTTAAGCAAGAATGTAATACCCTGAAAGCCCCCTGCCCCTCTCCAAAAACAAAAAAAAAATTCCCAAATATTACACCTAGGTCTTGTATATGTGCAGCATCTACGTACTTATAACTTTGTCATCAGTGTAAAGGTCCAAAGCAAATTCTAGCCCTCGATGACAGTGAACCACATTCATACTTCTTGTTTAGAAAGAAGAAAGAAGGAAGAGAAGAAAAGACAGAACAGGTAAGATACAATACTGCAATGCAGGCTGAGGAGATCGCAGAGTGCATCTTTATGTAAACTTAAGCCTCAGAACACCAAGATAAGCAGGTACAAATCGAAGTTAAAAGAACAACATAACACATTTAAATCCAGAAATAAAATCCAAATGGCACTCTGAAGACAAGGGGAGATTACTAATTTTTCTAGTCAAAATTTAGTACATGGGTACATGAGAGAATTAACAGGAAAGTAGCTAATTCACAATTATGATTTTCTTAGCTAAAGACTAATCTGCGAGGGTTTTTTCCAATAGACCTCTGTTAGTTTTATCAAATATGGTCAGGCACATAATTTCTGCTGCTTTATAGGAATTGAGTATTTTTCCCCATTATAAATTTTTTTTTCCCAGATCATCAGACAGCACCAAACTAGATGCGCTAAACCAAATGATAATCACCTAAGCTGGAAAATGAAGTATAATATTTGATAAACTGTTCCTTTAAATGAAGCGGTATTTCAAACAAAGCATCAAATATTTCATTTAGGGGAACTAAAATTTACTTGCAATAATGCCTAAATGCTGCTAACAAGAAAATCAACTGTGTAAAAAAAAAAATGGCATAAATCAATGTGTATCACAAAATGCTAATATAATCCCAAATTTGGTTATCAATAAAATTACATTCTTTTTGCATATTCACACAGCATATTTGGAATTATCAAATTCTTTTTGAGAACACATATACCAATTCCAGCAGGCCCCTCTATTTAAATGCCTAAGATCTAGTGGACATAGGTTGTTATTCCAGAAAAACCCAAAGCTCAGGCTAATCAAGTTATTTTAAGTCACCAAGTTTTTCTGCTAACAGTAAGGTGTCATATGGATCTTTGGAATAATCTATTCCCAAATATACTGTCATACACTGATCAGTGGTTTTTCCAAAATGAGACAACTTACTAAAAAAAAATATGAAATTTAAAAATTACTCTGTACTATCTTTCCAAACAAAATTTTCCTTTCCTTCCTAGGGTAAATTTTTTAATTTTGGAAGCACGGTATAAAATGGATAAAACATGACTGCAAGCAATTAATTAAGCAAAGGGAATTAAGTGTGGAAATGATTAGTTTTCAAATCAGTACCACCTACTGAAATCAGTAATTTTAACAACTGCTTTTATGAATAACAGTAACAGAAAACCATCAAATAATGATATTCATGGGTTCTCCTTAGAAGTTCATGCGAGCAATTCAAACAGCAGGGTTCTGACTTTTTTTTTTTTTTGGCTGTGAAACTCTTGAGCCCAGTGGGTCTCCTTGCCAAATTCATGTCGTATTAATTCTACTGCAGGTCATACCTAAAAAAAAAAAAAATATTTGCAGCATCGTAGCTTTTTTGCCTGGTAATCTGGGTATTAGTTTTAGTATGAAAACCAACTGCTAGATTACAACCGTGACGGGAAGAGGGCTTGTGTTCACTTCCGAGTACTATCAAGGGAGGGAAACTGCATACGCAACGCACAACGCCAAGCCAGAGCAGGCTCGGGCCTCGCCAGTTCTCCAGGCACAGACTTACATTCACTTGTCACCGGTTTTTCTCCAAGCCCCAGAGGTCCCAGCGTGGGTCTTGAGACAGTTCGTGTTCTCAGGAAGAGTTTCCTCCCAACTCCTACTGTGCTTAGTTTATAGCCACCTTCTCCCTCGTGCAGTGAGCAGAGGGAGACCCATATGGTCCCCCCCACCCCCACCTCAAAAGCTGCTCGAGAGACTCTTTGTGATAGTGAACCGCCACCTCACAACTCAGCATTACCCATTCGGACCCTGGCCATGACCACAGACTTAACACTCGGGAGGCAAGAGGGCGGCGGGTGGCCCCCGATTCAGTGGCACGTGTGACACAAAGGGGTTCTCCTTTAAATTAGAAAAGAAAGTCGCGTCACAGAATGTTTCCCTAGAAAAGATATGTAATAAAGTAATGTCAATAAAATAGCTATTACTAAAAGCAAAGCTTTCATCAATAAGCCTCGAGGACTTTGAAGGAGGAAAATGGCTTCACGAAATGGTAGTCCAGGTTGCCGCAGTGCGGACACTGCTGGACGTTGCTGTACTCGGAGAAGTATTGCATCCCGATCCGCACGTCGATCACGGGCTTGCCGCAGTGCTTGCAGTTCAGCCGGGCCTGGAGAGGAAGCACACACAGTCAGCGCCGCGTCCGTGCCGGGCAGTGTCGCCCGTGCGTGCCCCAGTGGGGAGACTGGTAGCCTGGGGGAACTCAGCCTACCAATGAGTTTATAGCCACTGGAAGGTGGCTATAAACTCAGGGAAGCGTTGCTTTCATCACCACGAATGGAAAGCACAAGGGCTGGGAGCGATAGCATAGAGGGTAGGGCATTCACTTTGCACGCATCTGACCGGGTTCAATTCCCAGCATCCCATATGGTCCCCTAAGCACCACCAGGAGTAATTCCTGAGTGCAGAGCCAGGAGTAATTCCTGTGCATCGCTGGGTGCAAAAAGCAAAAAAAAGGGAAACAAAAGAAAAAAAAAAGGAAACCACCATGGGAGAGAAGCATCAGAATAAATGCATTTGTGGGGGAGTGCAGGGGTTGGGATGGGGGGGGGGGGGGTCTTGAGATCACTCCCTGCCATTCTCGACCAACTAGGCTGCATGGTTCTCAGTGAGAGGGCCTACCGCCATGGTGTTGCTTGGGCATAGTGGGGACGACCAGGGCATCCATGGCCATCCCCACTGGTGTTCTGGAGGCCATGCGGATCCTCTGCTATGCCCATGCCCTGGCCCTGTGCTAGCTTCCCAATAAGAGACTGTTTTTAAGTATTCATCACCAGCCAGAAAGATGAAGGACTCCTGACTTCTTTCCTGACGTGTATCACAGCTGCTAGCACTTTCATCACCTGGTAGAGAGGACCAACCAAGCTTCTCTTCTCAAAGGAAACCCCAACTTCACAAGATTTTGGACAGCATCGATGAAGCCCATTTCTCTCACCCACACCTCTATTAATCTTCTCTGCAAATATGAACCCTATTTTAAACCAGGCTCTTTCTCAACTAGTCCTAATTACACTTGCATTTTCTCTGATGAAAAAAAACAAATTTCCCGGGGCTAGAGCGATAGAACAGCAGGTAGGGCGTTTGCCTTGCATGCAGCCGACCAGGGGTCAATTCCCAGCCAGAAGTAGTTCCTGAGTGCAGAGCCAGGAGTAACCCCTGTGCATTGCCGGGTGTGACCCAAAAAGCACTGTAGCACTGCACTGTCCTCCCGTTGTTCATCAATTAGCTCAAGCGGGCCCAGTAATGTCTCCATTGTGAGACTTCTTGTTATTGTGTTTTGGCATATGGAATAAGTCACGGGGAGCTTGCCAGGCTTTGCCGTGCAGGCAAGATACTCTCGGTAGCTTGCCAGGCTCTCCAAGAGGGACAGAGGAATCGAGCCCAGATCGGCCGGGTTGGTCGCAGGCAAGGCAAACACCCTACCCGCTGTGCTATCACTCCAGCCCACCCAAAAAGAAAAAAAAAACCAAATTTCCCTACCATATGATTGAGAGATACCACACTGACGCATTCGCTCAAAGGATATGAAAACACTAATTTGACATTTGCACCCCTCCCACCTGGATTTAATGTAAATCGACCAATAGCTAAACAGCTGTGGTAGAGTTCAAAATTTAGTTAGCTTTATTCACTTGCAACCCCTTTGCTCCTAAAAATTTGTTATGCAATCCCAAGTACATCGCTATATAAAAGTCATACAAATCAAACATTACTGATAAGTTCTAAAAATTCTTTTAGAACTTTTTTTTTTTTTTTTTTTTTGCAATCCTCACACTCAGTTACATGATCCCTTGTAGGATCCTGCCCCACAGAGTGATAAAGACTGAGGAATACTCCTCTACTATTAGAAAAGACAACACTTTGCCTTTTGGGACAAAATGGAGGAAATGAGGTGATAATTCTAAGTAAAATAAGAACGTGGAAGATAATGACTACACAGTTTTACTCATTTGTGGAACACTAGTAACTGGGAGGGGGGGGAGGCAATTTAAAAAAAAAAACTAGTCAGGGCCCCGAGTGATAGCACAATGGGTGGGGCGTCTGTCTTGCATGCGGCTGACCTGGGTTCGATCCCCGGCATCCCATATGTTCCCCTGAGCACCACCGAGTAATTCTTGAGTGCAGGGCCAGGGGTAACCCCTGAGTATTACTGGGTATGACCCAAAAAGACCGGGGAAAAAAAAAATACACTAGTCAGTGAGAACTCTGGTGGTGAGCAGACAGAAAGGGGAGGGGATGGGGAGCACCAGATAGAGGGATCTTTTGGTGGGATGGTGTGGAACTTTGGTGTTGAGTATGGTATGCCCGGGAGAGGGAGAGAGAGAGAGAGAGAGCGAGAGCTCTAAAGCTATATACTCTGAAATTTTATAGTACTGACCAATGATAAATCAGTAACAAACATTTTCTGAAATGTCCCTAAAAGAATTCAAATACAACTGACATAGGGGAAGAATAGACACGTTTCCCCCGAGCTCGGGAGCCCACCAGAACACTCACTCCATCTTTCCCATGCAGGTCTCGTGAGCAGTACCCCACGAGAGGAGGCTTTCAGTAAGGGGTGCAAGGCCTAGGTGAATAGCCGGCAATTATAAATACAACAGACCTTCCACCTAAATTCATTTTAAGATTTAATAGAAAAGTATAATCTCAGTTTGCCCTCAAACACTCCTGTGTAGTAGGTAGTCATCTACGAATTTCAAATGAGGTAACAGAAGCACAAGCTAATGAAGTAAAAGGATTTGACCAGCAGTTGCACACTCCAGATCACACACCATCTGGCCGCTGCAGGACTAACAATCCGTAACTGAGTTAAATTCAAATTCCCCTTTAAATAGCCTAAAAAGGGGCTGGAGGTATAGTATAGTGGGTAGGGCGTTTGCCTTGCACATGGCTGAGCTGCTGACCTGGGTTCAATCCCCAGCATCCCATATGGTCCTCCGAGCACTATCAGGAGTAATTCCTGAGAGCCAGGAGTAACCCCTATGCATCGCCGGGTGTGACCCAAAAAGAAAAAAAAAAGGATTAGAACCTTCATTCCAACCCTGACACTAGATAAACCAATAAATGTTACTTCAAAAAAAATTAAAAAAAATAAAATAAAATAAATAGCCTTTAAAAAGGCTCAGTGAAGAACCAAAAGATACCTTATTTCCAAGAGTAAAATTTTAAATGAAAAGCAACTGATATCTTAAAAACATTAAAAGTCCTTTCTGGAATTCAATAACTGGCTATGAATGGTCACTTAGGTCTTTTACAACCATATTTCTCTCCTCAGTATCAGACAGCTGAAATAGCTATCCTGACAATCTTTTAATCCTAACATCAAAGTCCAATATCTGAATAAACTACTAATAGCAAGAACAGTCCCTCTACGAAAGTGAAACCACAGAGCCGGGGATGTGGTTCGATGGTACCACTCATGACTTAACTATATTAGGTCTTGGGTTTGATCCCCAGCACAGACACACACATATAATCAAACCACAATATTAAGCATATGAAACTGTGGTAACTAATAAAATGCTTATCAGATATTTATATGTTAAAAGCCTGACGTGGCCACTGACCAACAGGAAAAAAATTCTCTCCCGCCATGAGTATTAAGGAATTATGTACCAAGTGCATCTTAGAAATACACCACGCACTCTACTTCCAAGCAGTCAGCTTCGTTTTTCCTGTACATGCAACTTACTTAAGGCAGTTTCATGTTTGTTAATACTTGCCCTTTTCCTAATGACAGAGCCATCACAATGCTTCTGAGAGCATCAGGAAGTTCCTCTTAAAAGGGCTTTAAGTGTCACAAGTCATCTGCGCTAACCTCAGAGAGCAGGTGGACTGGGGTAGCTGTGCTACCCCACAGAAGGAAAGAAAGAAAAAGGAACATCCTGACTCCTAAAGAAAGCAAAACTTGGTTCTTCCGTTCAACAGCAGCGTCACCTTACCAGAAACGATTTAACTTTAGCGTAAACAAAAAACAATGCTAGAATAAAACAAAGCAAAAAGAAAACTGCAGGCACCACTCCATCAGACACAGGAAGTGGCAGTTCCCACTTTGTAAGTGGGCACACAGGATTAGGCCTTGTTGCTCTTGGGATGTGACACAATGGAAACATTTCTCAGGAAACTGTCCACTCCCTGGCCTACAATACCCCATTCTACTGGCTGCTCCGTCCCCCCCAGAGGGCTGCCCGGGCGTGCCCACAGCTCCTCTCCAGGGCCCCTGAAGCATCTGCTCACGGCATCCCCCTCCCAGCCATCCCCCTCGCAGGGCTGCCTCAAAGGCCTCTGCTGGGGCCAGAAGCTGGCCATCGCACACGGTGGGCTTTGAGGGGGTCAGTACCAACCTGACAGCATGGAGAGGCGGCCAGGATGTCGTAGGTGTACATGGTGCCCAGCTGGTGCCAGCTGCCGTCCCACCGCGACTTGCACTTGATGCAGATGATCTTGTGCACCCCTTCCAAGCAGTCCACGCACACAGCGTACAGGTGCATGAGCCTCCCTGTGCACAGAAGACAGGAGGCTGAGAGCGGCCGGCGGGGAACTCACCTTGGGTCTCCAGAGAGGGTAAAAACAAATGGCTCCTCTGGCAATTAGAAACAAACACTTGGTCATTTGAATCCATGTTTGAAAAAAAAAAAAAAGCAAAATAGGTGATAGCTGTTGGCTACAGCCAAGTTGCCCTTTTCCGAACAGCAAACTGCATCTGAAGTTCAAATACGTATACGAGCTTCAGCTCACTGTCCCTCTTAAGAGCTGCCAGATTCACAACACAGACATTCGAATGGGCTGAGCCGCAGATGTTCGCTACCAGCCTGTGATCACACAGGACGTCCACCTCAAAGTCTGTGCATGACATGCGGAGACTGAACCCACCTGTAAGGTTTCAGCCATGGGTAAGTCCCATCACAGACAAGCCAGAAGTCAAGAGGACTAGAAGCCCCGAATCAATACCACGGCCAAGCTTACTGTGACTTCCTTGTCTCCAAACTTGCTCCATCAGGGCCGCATCTAACTTCAGAATTATTCCCTCGATTTGAAACTGGCTGATTGGGAGCAGGGTGGGGGCTTTCAGTCACACTGCACAGTGCTCAGAGGCTCAGCACTGACCCCCTAAGTGGTGCTGGGGATTGAACCAGGACTGACCACATGCAAAGCCAAGTGCCTTACCGTTACCCTGCTGGGCACTTTAAAGTCACAACCCATTCCTTCGATATTAATCTACAGTGAGGGCTTATAAAGGAAAGGTGTTCCTAGGGTCAAACCACGAGGAAAGCGTCGGGCTGTCCAGAACATGCCTGGACAATGGGGAAGGGCGGGAGCTCCACATGTTCCACAGGGCTCAAGATCTCCACTGTGCTAACACTTCCCTGGGAGAACAGTCTCCTGTGTGGCTTCTTGTTGAGAATGTGAATGCACCTTGCAGGGGAGAGACGGGCCTGTCCTTCCACTGGAGAGAAGGGTCAGGTCCTGTAGGGGAAACAGCCCCATTGCCTAGTTTTATTACATGGCTCCGCGCATCCCGCCTGGAGGGCAGGAACCATGGTCTTCCATCCCTGTGGGCTTAAGAGTCTGCCACAACGTCTGGAATGTGGCAGGCACTGTAGCTATGCTGTATAGTTGTGCCAGGTGATGGATAGGGGCCTATTATTAGCCAAAGAATTTATATCTAACCTGGTTGACAAGAGCTCCTGGCAATACTGCCGAACTCTGCTCTAGGGCACTGTGTCACCCTGACTCGGGGTAGCCAGGGAGCACTTGCTCCAAGTCTCCCAGGAGTCACTGGGGAATACTTTTGCTCCCAGTCTCCCTTCCAGACTTACTGCAGTTCTCAAACATACGAAGATTCCTGGGGTTACAGCCAGGAAGGGTGGGGCGGAGATAGACAAGTTCAGGTGTTATTTGCAGCAACGACAGAGATGATGGAGACAGAAAACGTGGGCTACGTGCTCACCCAAGGGCTGGTGCTGTGCTGTGTGAGGCTACATCAGTCGCTTTGTGTAACCCTCACACTGCAACTTCCACCCCACATGGTCAGAAGGGACGCTCAGAGGCTTACCCAAGTACACAGAGAAAGGAAGCAGCTAAGCCCGAGGCTGAAAGACGAGGGCCCACGGACCCCTGGCCCCACATGCTTGAATCTTAACATCTGAACTCATGGAAACTTCCTCACCCAGACGATCTCCACACTGCTGCATACACAGGAATGTAAAGAACATGACATTTCTAAACTCTAGCGTGTGAGATCACACACAAAATGCAGATGATATTCAGGCTAGTGTTCGGTGACTGGGTACATGCCTGGCATGTGTAAGAACTGGGTTCAATCCCTGGCAGAGCTCAAAAAAAAAAAAGACTATAAAATAGCACAGTAAAATAATGAGATGAATCTTAATGATCTACTAAAACTAAACACAAGTTTTACTCCTCAGAGGAAGAGACCGGGAACAGCCCTGGAGCCAGAGGCTGGAGAGGGCAGCAAGGGGAAGGGGCAAAGGAATGAGAGCCCCACAGTCCAACCACTGGCAACAAACTACTTCAGGGGCAAAGAATCCACCAGAGTCTGGAGTCCTGTGGCAAGCAAGTGGCCTTTCTACCGCAGTTGGAAAGCTTTCAGGTTTTAAGTGATTAAGGTTTAAGTTTCATTTCACTGTTGGGACTCAGTTGAAGGAAATGTGGCGGTCAAAGCAGAGACGTGTGGCCCTGTCTCGCCAGGCCCTGATGCACAGCCTCGTCTGAGCTGAGCTGTGGCCAATGAGCATCTTGAGATCTCGGCGGCCCAAACCTGTGGATGAGAGCGGGCGTGCACGTGCAGGGGTGCCCGGGACTTTCTCATCCTCGCCCTCCTCCACCCACTCCCTCAAGTTTCCACATGCTTTTCCTTCCACTTCTCTTTCTTCCCCCAAACAAGGACTCCTCCACTCTTTAGTAAAGAGTTGCTCCATCACGATCCTAAAATAAGCTCCCTGGCGTTCCTCTCAGGTATTAGTTTTGATTTAATTTCCGGTTTCTTTAGGGTTTGGGGGCAACACCCGGCAGTGCTTCTGCCTGGTTCTGTGCTCAGGAGTCACTCCTGGCAGGGCTCGAGGAACCATATAGGATGCCGGGGATCGACCTGGGTTGGTCATGCGCGAGGCAAGTGCTGTACTACAGCTCCAGTCCCCCGCATGCTGATTTGTTAGAGCGCTTGCTAGACATGCTTACACACACACACACACACACACACACACACAAATCCCAGCTTCCGTCCAAACCCAAATCCTACGCCAGTTCCTCAGTGCCTTTCTCCTAAGCCCAGAGTCCCTTCCCAGATGCTCTCACTGCAATTATCAGGCCCCAGGTCACAGTGTGCCACAAGAATTCATCTTCCCTTCTACACCACTGAAAAGTCACAACCTCCAACCCCAACTAAATTTTTCTTTTCCTTTAAAATAAATTCTTTCAGGGAAGAGGAAAGAGCTCAAAGGGCTGGGCCCAGGATGTGCGTGCAGAGGCCCTCAGTTCACTCCCTGGCACTGCCCGGCCCTCCTGAGCACTGCTGAAGGCAAGTGGCACTGCGTGAGCGGCCCAAGCACTGGGCCATCCGGCCTGCACAGCCAGGGCGAGCATCACTGGAAACCTGGGAAGCCTCGTCCGAAAATAACATCCTCCCGGGGCTGGAGAAGCCCTACAGCAAGCAGGCACGCTCACTGCACGCAGCCAACCCAGGCCTAATTCCTGGCAGCCCCTATGGTCTCCTGAACCCCACCTGGCATGATCCCTGGGTGCAGAGCCAGGAGATATCCAGGTGAGCACTGCCGGGTATGCCTTGGGCTATGTCTTTCAGTAATATCCTCTCCCCCCCCCAAAAAAAACAATTTTCTTCCAGATAATTACAATTCTCATTTCCATTGGTCACTACCCGTTACTCTCTCACTTCCAAGTAGACTAAAAAAAATGTTTTTAACACTTTAGAGGCTCCACCCATTTCAAACAATTTTCCCACTAAGTTACTGATCATGTAATTTTTTCAAGCCTTTCAATTCATAAATATGATCAATTTCCTACTGTAGCTTAAAAGGTCACCCACAATCTGATCTCCATCTGCCCTACTCATTTTCCTCTCTAGAACCTCAGCTCTAACCAAAGTTTCTCTTCAGCTTTACCTGTCTCCCAGCTTCTTTAAATCCCCATTCCTTTGTTCCCTTTCCTTCTGACAAGGATAGGTTGCTAGCTCCTCTGCTTACCGTAATCCAGGCGACCTTCTGACCTATGCCTCCTATCCCTTCCTTGGATTACCCAGGCAGATACATGCCTCTACCTCCTTAGAAATCCTGGGCTGCTTTGGTCTGAAATATCTAGGGGGCTGGAGCGATAGCACAGCGGTGGGGCGTTCGCCTTACAAGCGGCCAACATGGCCGACCCGAGTTCGATTCCTCCGCCCCTCTCGGAGAGCCCGGCAAGCTACCGAGAGTATTCGATATGCCAGACACAGTAACAACAAAGTCTCCAATGGAGACGTTACTGGGCCCGCTCGAGCAAGTCGACGATCAACGGGAGGGCCTTTACCTTTACCTTTATCTAGGTGTTACTAACTCTACTGGTCATACGAGTATCTCCTGCTTAGCAAAGTCTGTGAGATTTTTACAAAAGATTATAAATTGATGTAAGGAAGGATAATAACCAGTACAGGCACAGAATTATTAAGTTCACGGGTGAGATGGATGATGAGATGGATGATGGATGGTGGATGGGTGAAATGGATTCAATGAAAAGAACTTGTCCATCAGAACAGAGCAAGCAGAAAACTACTATGATGAAGTCGTGAAGACCATTTCCAGTCTTAAAATAGAAAAACTACCATATAAAATGAAGGTATGGCTACCCACTTCTCTCTACAACTATCCCACTCGGACCTGGGACCTGGATCTGGTAGCTATCCCCAATGTGGGGAGATGAAGACAGACTAGAGAGAGACCAAAGCAGTGAGTCGAGTGCAGATAGACTAGCAAGGGGGACAGGAGGAGACGGGAGTGGGAAGCTTAGTGAGACTGGAACAGGCACGAGGAGAGAATGGAATAAACGCGAACTGATCACCAACCAGCCTGGCCCTCGTTTCCTCCTTCGTCCGCCCATGGGATAGGCCGTCCCGGGTGGGGAAGCGGCCCAAGATCACTGAACGCAGGCGGCAAGAGAGAGCTGCAGGTTTCTTAGTCGTTTTGTGATTACACACTCTACAAATATCCCACTCAGGGGGAGAGAGGGAGGGAGGGAGGGAGGGAGGGAGGGAGGGAGGGAGGGAGGGAGGGAGGGAAGGAAGGAAGGAAGGAAGGAAGGAAGGAAGGAAGGAAGGAAACTGAAGTACCAGCACCCTTCACCACAATGTGCCAGAAATTGGTCTTGTCGCTGGACAGCAAGCTTAGAGGAGGGCAAGGAGAGTGCTGAAATGGGACATACGAGCAACTAGACTTTCCAGGCAACCTTCCCACCATAAGCAGAGACTATCTCACCCAAGTCTGGGCCTGACCCCTACTCTGGGGATCTGAAGGGAACAGAAATGATGCCAAGCCCTGTGTGGAGAAAAAGATGCTCAACTTCCTCCACAGGAAGCTGCGATCGAAGTCACTGCTGACCCAGATTCAATTCCTGGCACCAGGAATGGTCCCCGGAGCCCCACCACGAGTGATTCCCTCGGTACAGAACCAGCCAGGGGTAAGTCCTGACCACCAGTGTGGTCCAAAACATAAATAACAAACATATGAAACAAAGAATTCCTTTTAAAAAAAAAAGGGGGAAGGGGCTCAACCTAAAGAGGCCCAATATCTGATTAATAGTTATATGTTTTAAATGAAAATACAAGGAAATTACCAAAGAAAATTGACCAAAGAAAATTTCCCCCAACCGAAAACGGTGAGTTCACCAAGTCAAAACGCCAAGGAAGCTCTCTTCACTGCAAATGGGAGAGAGATAACCCCTAGGATACAAAAGATGAAGACCTAAAAGCTGCCAGGGTGGAGAAGAGGAATAAGAGCACAGGAGGAAGAATAGGAACACTGAAAAGCAGAGAAGAAATGCCTTCCCAGTTGGGAGACTACACCCAGCCAAACAGCAATCAAGTGTAAAAAGCTCAGGGTCAAGATACTATTGCACTTTCAAAGTCTCAAAACATGTATTCCCAGGGACTCTTTTCTCAGAGAGCTCCTGGGCATATTTCCTAACAAACTGAGGGAACAGACCAAGAAAAAAGAAAATATAGGGCCTAATAAAGAGAGATTTAAAAATAAAAGAGGAAAGAAATGAGAGAATTTCAAAGGGATGGCTGTATATAGTACAGCAGGTCCCAAATACCCTAGGACAGGAGCAATACGACGAAAGCCTCCAGAAGGTAAATTTCTGGAAAAGAATTTTCATAGAATGTCTTGTAAGAATAAAAATGAGGTCCAAAGAGATAGTACAGAGGTTAAGGGCACTTGCCTGACACTAAACCGACCCTGGCTCAACCCCTGGCACCACATATGGTCCCCCCTAAAAGCACTCCTAGGAGCGGTTCCTGAGCACAAAGCGAGGAGGAAGAAGCCCTGAGCACCACTGTGTGTGTGACCCAAAAACAAACCCCAAAAAAGGAGTGAGGGAATGGAAATGTTTTCAACAAGTGTTTGGCACTTGGTAGAGAGTAGGAACGATCAACGTTTAGAAAAATGTCTATGAAACAAAAATGTGAAGCAATTATCAATGTTACAAATACAAATATGTGTCTCTATAGCGCTCTGTATTGGAAAGATCAAACGTGTTCTTGATACAGCAGTAAATTTTTACGCAGTAGTAAAAACCATGAAAAATTTGATCAAGGACCCAAGGAAGAACTTAAAAGGGCTGAAGCAACTGCTTTGCATTTGGGAGGTCCAGGCTGGGTCCCCGGTTCCATGTGGTCTCTGCCAGGTGTGGGCCACATTTAAATATATATATACATATATATATAATATATATATATATCAAAGACTGTGATATATTATCCTGAGAAAACAAGGAGATGCATGAAAGCCCTCAACTGTTGGACTAGAAAGTTTAAAGGTAATGCCTAAATTTGGAAAAATAAAATTATAGTTTTTAAAGAATGATAGCAAAAACCTGAGGAATCACTTAGGACTTGGAAGTGTGTCTGGAAACTGAGTCAGCAGTGGTTGGGGAACAGAATGTAGGTGTCGTTGGGCCATCTTACTACATTACTCCCGCATTCAAATTAGGAACAGTGTATGTCACGACTGCCCTCTGCAAATAAAGTCAACAGCTGCATAGGAATTGAGATTTCTCCCCTCCCCACCCATGACTCGATTCCTGATGGCTATCTCTGTCCTTGTCCCCTAGGTGCTGTGGGTCCTCCCAACACTCAGGTAAAGCCTCCTTTTTTTCTCTTCTGCTTGTACTGAGCATCTTTCAAAATGTCAAGGCTCACTCCTCTGGAAGCACTCTGGCTCTCTCACCCGCAACATCCCCACACACTGAGATGTACAAAGACCAGAGAGAAATGCACAGCTTGCTGGGCGGTTCACCCGGGCTTTCAAGTGTGAACTGGCAGAATCCCACATTTCCCTCTCTGCATGTCCTCCTGGCTAGGAAGACCGACCATCAGCAACTGCTTCTTGGCATTTGTTCAGAACGGAATCATAATAGGCACCACAACTGCACTTGGGGGGAGGGGGGACGGTGGAAGGGAGGGGGACATGCCACCCTCCTCCGCGCCCATCCCTCCCAGGACAGAGCCACACATCAGGATACCGGTCAGTAGCAAACGGCACCAAAAGGGCCCGGGGTCAGGCTGACGCACTGGGCAGTCCCTCTGGGAACAGAAGGGAGAGCGGGTGCTCCGACACCTCTGTACCTTGGAGGTGACAAGGAACATCGTATTCGATCTCATCGTGCCGCGACGGGCTCAAGAACAGAGTCCCGTCCACCAGCGGAAACTGCTCGAACACGGGCAGCGCCCGGTGGCACAGGGCGCAGTTCACCACGTTCCGGTGGCTGGCGCTGAGCGCCGCCAGGATGAACTTGCGCAGCTCCTCGCCCTGGCCCACTTGGGCGTCGTCCTCCATGCGCACGTGGAAAGTGTTCAGCTTGTGCCGGGGGATGTGGGTGAGCAGCTCCGAGAGGTCCAGGCGCCGCAGGAACTGGATGGGCGCGTCAAAGTGGGCCCCCCGGTGCCCCGCCAGGCCGCCCGCCGCGGGGCTGTAGTCAAAGTGGGTGTTGCGGAACACGTGGCCCGCGCCCAGGGCCTTTTTGTGAGGCTCCAGGTGGATGGCGTTCTTGAGGAACTCGCCGAGGTAGCGGGAGGCGCGGGGCCCGCCGAAGTGGGCCGGGGACAGGATGGAGTAGCCGGCGGGCGGGGACTGGCCCGGGGAGCCGCAGGGCGAGCGGGGCCCGTAGCCCTTCTCCTGGGAGTTCTGCCGGTCCATGGAGTGCCGCCGCGGGCCCTCGTGGCTCAGCCCTTTGGGGGGCTTGGCCGGCGCCCGGCACTTCTTGGCCTCCTCCCCGCCCGCCGCGTCCCCCGGCGGCCGGCCGGCACTCTTCTCGGCGCCCGCCTTCTTCCTCTTCTCCTCCTGCATCCGCTTCACCTGGTACCAGTCGGTGTCCTTCTTCAGGTGGCCCTGGCCGCAGCGGCAGGAGCAGAAGCGGAAGGCCAGGTCGTAGCCCTTCTTGGTCCACATGTTCTGGCGGCACTGCTTCTCGTTCCAGCTCCGCGCGCGGCCGATGCAGTTGAACTGGACCAGGATGCTACTCTCCCACTCGTAGAAGCACTGCAGGTGCATCCAGGGGCTGCACGGGCAGTGCTCGTTGTTGCACACCACCTTCTGGTAGTCGTCCTTCTCCAGGTCCACCGGCCTCCCGAAGCTGCAGATCAGGGGCGTGGCGCACGGGGCCTCTGCGGGGGACACAAAGGGGAAGAGAATGAGCTGCGCACTGGGCCCCCCACCCCACCCCGCGGCCGGCCGAGCAGAGAGGGACGAACCATCATCCCCCTGAGCCTCTTTGTTGTGCCAGAGGTGCAAAATGCAAGCTCTGCTGATGAGACTGCCCTCTCTGGAACCCCTTTCCTCCAGAACGCTGTGCCAAGGACACTGGGAGTGTTCTGTTATCTGCGGATGAATATACGGCTGGTAAGCTTAAGAAGTCCAAACCTGGGCGGAGCGAGAGTACAGTGGGTAGGACGTTTGCTTGCCCTACAGAGTACACGGTCCACCAGGGTTCAATCCCATATAGTCCCTCACTCTATCAGTCCTCAGTGTTCTCAGGCACTTCCCCAAGTGGCTGAAAAGGGTAGAGAGAAAAGCAATAGATTCCCTTCTCGAGGTTGCCACTCTTCTTCTCCCCACTTCACACAGGTCCCCTGGAACAAATTCGGGAACTGAGCACTGACACCAGCAGGGCCAGGAGCAGCAGGTCTGCGCAGGAGCTTTTTGAGCAGGTCCTACTTCGCATCTGCCTGGGCACTAGGCGGATAGACACATCCGAGCCTGAGATTCCAGAAAAGCTGTGAACCTAGATGTGGAGCCACGTGCCCAGAGACGCAGTAAGCACCTGGGACTGAGGAACTAGCCCACTGGGTCGCCAAGAGTGAGAAAAGATCCAGGAAGCCGTGGCTGGAAGGACGGCCTTCCACTCTGGTAAGGAATGAAGTGGCGATTCACCAAAGGAAGCCGGGAGAGAATAGCACCAAGCTAGTGGCGGGGAGGCTGGAAGAAAGGAGGGCTGAGAAAGCCCCACCAGGTGACACAGGTTATTTCTCCTGACTCTGGGCTGCATGATTCTTTGTTGTGCAATCTGTTCTGTGTGCTCTAAGACACCCAGCTGGCCCCCTGCTGAATGCCAATCCCATCACTCCCTCCGACTGTGACACCTATAACTCTCCAGACATTACCAGATGTCCCAGGCCCAGGGAGCACAACCACTGGCAACTGCAAACAGTGAAGGGCGGGGGGGGGGGGGGGGGGGGGGGATTGAGCAGTCCCCCTGGAGGCAAGCCAGTCCGACACCTTGGTGAGGACACCTCTCCTGTGGAGATGGAGATGCAGACAACCACCAGGAGCCAAGGGGACGTCAAGATAAGATAAAAGTAGTGCAGATGACCTTCCAGGAAACTCTTTCCAGAAATATAATTGACAAGGGAAGGAGAGCCAACAGCAGAGGACAGCTGAAACCTAAACACACTCATCAACTCCAGAAGCAAAGTCAGAACCTCAGGCCAGATCCAGGCTGAAGGGAGGGAGAACAGGGGCTGATCCTTCTATCTGGGAAAGTCCAGCGCTGCCCGCTGAATGCTGAATGAAATGCACTTTTCCACCCAGCAAAAGAGTGCAGAGACTGAACCGCGACTCTATCCCTCTCCTGCTACAATCGCCCCCTTCAATGTGGGGTGTTTCAGGGCTTCTACCAAAATCCACTCCACCAAGCTCCCCCGTATAGCATCCCTAACCACAGCCTAAACCTTCATTTACCTGCAAACTCCTCAACCCCAGGGCCATCCACAGTAGGGGACTGTGAGAGAGAGTGCCTGGCTTGGACTCCCAGCAGTACCACTCAGCTGTGCGCTCTCGGACAAGTTTTGGAACTTCTCTTTGTGTCAGTGTCCTCTGTGTAAAATAACCCAACATGCCTTAGATGGCTGTAAGAGGGAGGGAAAATAACTGATACCTGAGTGCGTGAGAGCAGGTCCGGCCCTTCTTTCCTTCAGGTCCACTACAACCGACACCAATTTCACCGGTACCCCCTCCTCTCCTAAACTCTCCCGTCCCCCGCAAATGGCCAGCTCTAAACCTTATTTGAATGTATTGTGATCAGTCCCACCCGCTGATGACTCAGAAGCGGGTGACTTTTTCTCATCTTTGTGTTCCTGGCACCACTGGGCCCAGGTTCATGCACCAATCGAGTGCTGAATAAAGTTACATTAACAAGAAATGATAGAAATGGCACAAGAAACTGCTCGACAGCAGAACGGAAGGAAGCACGAGCTGGGGTAGGGTGGGGAGAAGAGAGAATTTGCGCTACATTTTCAGAGGCTCACTCAATGCAAGGAAGTGGAAGTGGTTTGTAAAGGCTGAGCAAATTAGCTGCAGTCGCCAGGGTAGTGACCTTTAGTGTCTTTGAAAGTGCTAATTGCTCAATTAACATACAGTTCCCTTTATCTCCGAAACATCAGAGCAAACAGCCTTGAAGGAAATGACTGAAAAGATGACAGTAACCCAGATGGTATTAACGCAGACGGAATGAAATCAAGGTAGAGACCGGCCTAACTCTACCTTTGAATTCACACTATGCAACATTTTACACTGAAGTGCTGTTACTGACTTGGTATTTGTCAAATCCTTTCATATTAAAGACAGGCACACAAGGAGAAGGGGAAATCCTATTCTTATCTTTTGCCCCAACCCGCAGATGTGTCCAATTCTGAACACTTCCTACACACCAGGAAACTTTGTCTTTGGAGCAGGAAACTGGCCAACTGCACTGAGAGCTCAGAAAGGCAGAGATGCAGGGACTCCAGGGGAGCTGCATTCCCCCCCCCCCCCCCCCGCCCCCATCAGTGCCCAGAAGCATCAGGAAGTCTCCCTTGCTTTCTGCTCTCTCACTCTTCCAGCTATACAGGTGAGTAACTCGGTCCCTCTGAGGTGGCCTTGAGGCTAGGCCTCCAGAGCAAACAGGAGACCAGAGAAATAGCACAGCGGGTAGGGTGTTTGCCTTGCACGCAGCCAACCCGGGTTCGATTCTCAGTATCCCATATGGTCCCCTGAGCACCGCCAGGAGTAATTCCTGAGTGCAGAGTCAGGGGTAACCCCTGTGCATTGCCGGGTGTGACTCCAAAAAGCAAAGAAAAAAAAAGAAAAAAAAGAGCAAACAGGAGGTCAAGAATCCGCTCAATACCCAATCACATGCAACAGACACCTCACCCGCACCCACTCTCCACTGGGAAGTGGAAGAACCAGGTAAGTCCTGGAGTCTTTGGTCCCCCCCCCCCACACACACACACACACACGCACAACCTTCTCAGGAGGCTGCAAGAGCTGGTCCCTGAGACACAAACAGAGGATTTCTTCCAAGGCCCAGTGCCAACTTCTATCTCTCTTAGGTATCCCCTAACACAATCCTGTGACAGCAACACAATCGCAATGAAAACATTGGAAAGTTTTTTTACACTACAAGAAACAGCACTGGTGGCTCTAATTCACACTCATGAACAAATTAGCAGTACGACAGAAACATACTTGGTTGCTTCCTGAAAAGCGGTTTCCTAAATGTATGAATAGCCCTAGACCTTGTCAGAAGCAGCTCCACAGGGCTGGGGGACAGTTTAATGCTGGGGCGCGTGCCTTGCAGTCATGATGGTGAGGTGGAGCGTCAGACCCCAGCACCCCCCAATATGGCTGAGTGCATTCTGGTGGCTCAGTCACGTATCACAAGCAAGTGGGTGCAAGCACCCAGTTTACCTGCAAGTCTGCAAACCACATATGTGCCCCACACATGCCCCAGCCAGGTGTGTGCACCCTCTGATCACTGCAGAAACAACTCGGTGAAGGGAAGGGGCAGGGGAGGGGCGGGGGGAGAGAGGAATAAAAGTAGAACATTCCCATAAAAGTATCAGATTACACATTGAGCAGATACAATTACAATTATATAAAACCAACTATCATACTTGCCTCAAAGAGTTGCCATGACTTGATCCAGAGACTCACAAATGAATCTCACCATGGATTGGTTCCCTACAGAGATGTCTCTGGACCCCAATCATTTACACATTTGGAATTTGTGGCTGCGAAAGTGGCCATGCCACCTCTCATGATATTCCTAATAAGCAACAGAAAATAAATTATCTAGAATCTGCCTGTGGCAGGCAGGCTTCAACAGTGATGGGAAAATTCAAAACAATGGTGGTGGGAATGTGTAATGGTGGTGAGAGTGGTGTTGAAATACTGAATGTAATCAATTAATGTGAAGAAACTTATGAAAATAAAAGTTTAAAAATTTTTTTAAAAAGTTGCCATGAGGATGATAGGTACCACTAAGGCAGGTTAAACAGTGCCCAGCACATAATAAACGCTGCTTCAGTGTAACTGTTATGATTAAAAGCCCTACCATTTTATATTACTTGATTAAAAAACAAAGGAGGTTACATGCATTTAGAGCAAAGCTACAAAGCAGTGACCAGCCTTGTCTCTCCACAGGTAAGAAATGGCAAGACATGCATTCTATTCCCAGAGCAAATTAAGCAGGTCACAGGCCAAACAATGATTCAATTCTATACTGAGCAGATATAATTATAGAACAGGGTAGGGGGGCGAAGGGGATCCCACGTTACAGTGAGAGCCTATGTCACGGGTACCCACATCTGAACAGACGTCAGAAGCAACAGGAGAAACTGCTCTGTCCCCGTCAGCATTGTTCTAAGAAATGCAGACAAACCCTTCAGTGCCACTTTTTCACAGGAAGGAGAAGAGACTCGACCAGGCTCAGTCTGCGGAAGTGAGGGGGGGCCAACGCCCTGCACTTCCTCAAACTTAGCAGAGTCAGTTCTCTCCTTCTTCCCAGCTACCACGTACTCAGGTTAGGTTATTTGCAACGATTTTATTAAAAGGTTTTTAATAAAACCAGTAATTACAACTGGTCTCATTCACCTGACCCTGAAGGCTACACCGACATGGCAGCACTGAGAAGGATGATAAAGGAGAGGCCGACAAAATCTCAAGGCCGAACTAGGCTGCCACAACGAAGGAAGACAAAAATGATCGTCTGTACTTTCAATGCACGTACGCTAGCATCAGATGCATCCATCGAGGACCTGATGGTACAAGCGCGAATGATCAAGTACGACATCATTGGTCTGACCGAGACAAGAAGGCACGAATCTCACCATGCCGTTTTCGACACTGG